AGATAGATAGATAGATAGATAGATAGATAGATAGATAGATAGATAGATAGATAGATAGATAGATAGATAGATAGAGATTAGTTTTTATTTTGTAATAGTTTTTCAGCATATATTATTTTCTGTTTGCAAATGCAGCAGCTGGAAAGCCATTTTGAGTAGGTCAAACATGGACCGGATGTGCGCTTTTATTGTGAAAGCAGCACGTAAATAGGTGTACCGTAATGTCTTGAATTACCGCGCAATTGTAGATTGTGCGCTGGGCCGGCTGGAGTCAGAGCCGGCCAGCTTTACCGCGGTTCTTTTCGAGTACATCTCGTTACAACTCGTGTTTTCTGACATCTCACATCGAGTTAAATCCACATTTGACGGCCATATATTCCACTGAGAGCCTTTTTGATACAGTTCCCGTTATTCCTTCACAAAAAAAAAAAAAAAAAATTACAGGAGGGGGGAAGCGCATAACGCCTGACCGGTCCAGTTTCCAACCACAGTAATCCCAGGTCTGAAAATCACGGATGAAATTTAGTTTTGGTGTCTAGTCGATCCACCAAAATAGGTAATTGTACTCCCATGGATGCTGCCGACTACAGCGAAGCTGCTGAAGTCACCTCCTCCAATGGAGACTTTTCTGTCCTCCGCTCCTGATAAGCACACTCTGCGCATGCGCACAACACGCCAGCCTGTCCTGGTTTCGCCGTGACGCATGCGCAGTTCAGTCTTCCATCTTGTCTCTAATTTAGTAACAAAAGCAGAATATTGTTGTGCCATGGACAGTTTCTCCCCAAGCACTTTTTCATTTAAAAAAATGTTACATTTAACTCTAGAATGAGCTCTAAATATAATTCAGCAAAGTGTCAATGCAGAGAAATCTTACCGCTTGTTTGTTTCAGAGAGACTGAAGCTACGCTGAGAAAAATACCGTTAATATTTAACTGGCAAACAGTATAAAAATATGCATGAAGGATTTTTTTTCTTCACCTCTCATAAATGTCTATCTATAACAGCAGTTAACTTGGAACATTGACCTTTCTGTTACTTATTAGCTTAAAACTCAGCCCAGACCTGGTCAAAGTTCTCAGCTTAACAGGCCCCTCTGAGCTTTGTTTGTCCTGCAAGACATCATGCAATGCACAAACAACATACTAAACCTTTTATTAAAGGAGCAAAATCTAGTTTAAAAAATATATATTGTGTTGTTTATTGTGTTGCTGTTCTAGTTTATTGATGGTACATTTTTAAAAATCCCATTTTTCCCACACATGTAACAACGATTTAATCAGCCACAAAGCCTTAGTGGATATTTAGTTTTAACAACCCACTTTGTGTTTAGTACTCATCATTTGCAAATTTATAAATTTCTCATTTTTTTAAATCTAGCAATGTGAGCTGTCAGTTTAGGAGTGATGGTCAGCTGTTCTACAGAAAACGTATTACATTTAAATAAAAAGTAAGAAAATTAACATCTGTAATGTTTTGTTTTTCAAAATATTGTTCACTAATTAGGTTGAGGTGAAGACAGACAGACAAACAATAACATAAAAGTGTTAAAATTCTAAAATACAGCTTCTCCTACAGATCTTCTCCCACTGCTGCTGTCAGATGATGAACATAAACATATTTATGTTCTTCACATGCAACATAAAGATGAATCTTAATTAGCCACTCTCGCCACTCAACTAGCTGAACTGTTTTCATTTTGCTTCAGCATATTCCATTTTCTAGATCTTATAAAAACTTTGAAACAATCAGAGCCTTTGTGCTTTCTTTTTTTGCCTTTATCAGTCAGAATCAGCAGAGCAGATATTGTTGTCTACACATATATGGAGGCGAATCAGTATACCGAAGCTTTGCTGAATTTCTGATGCAGTTTTGCAGGCAAATAAAGGGTTCAGCAGGTAAAGGAAAATTCACGAAGACCTCACATAAAAAATTATTAAAGAAATAAATGAAACCTTAAAATAAACATTAGTAAAAGTAGGTTAAAATGTGAAATCACATGCATTGTCCAATCTCACCACGACTCAGTTCAAGTCTAGTTACTCTGCAGTTTATGAAATAATTGTTTGTCTTGATGTGACAAACAGATTATCATAACACGACCATCTGAAATTCCAATTCCAATACAAACAGGGGCGCCAGCAAGGGGAGCGGGGCAGGGGGGGCATGACCTCCCTGAGAATAAGCTGGCCACCCTAGTGCCCCCCAGTTTCATCCTCTTGAGTACCCAGTTTTTTTTTCCTTTTTCAATACCCCTACCTATTTAGGAATAGAACCTAATAAATATAAAAACAAACACAGATTTTTTCAACAACTAAGAGTTAAAAACCTTAATTTGTATTTTATTTAAAATTAAAAAATTAAATTAAAATTAAAATGTAGCACCTTGGAATAAGGACAACCAGACCAGTCTAAAACCAATGTTCTCAAATAAAGATTCATAGATATATTTTAATCAAATATTAATTAAATGATTTTAATAATTATATAATAAATATTAAATTAGGCAGTACAGTGGCAGCGATGGTAGAGCAACATATTGCCTCTAAGGAGGTTGCTAGATCAACTTTCTGTTCTACAGGTACTCCAGTTTTCTCTCACAGACCAAAATCATATTTATTATATGACATAAAAAGCAAACAACTTAATAATTTGGGATAACACTCCAGTAGATGTACTTTGTAATTGTGCTTGTTTTAGTCTTTATTTCCAGTTTGGGGCTTTTATAATCACTGTTTTTCCTTCACAAAAGTAACAAATAAAAATTTTAACATACATAGAAGAGGTGATGCCTTTAAATTTTAAAAAGCCTGTTCCTTGTAAATGTCTTTAAAATATGTATTTTGACATATTTAAATAAAATGACAATCATTTTTGAAGGGTAACTGTCCCCATCAAATTTAAGATTTAATTCATTTCAACCCCCATTTACCATAAAACATTAGTTCATCCAGTGTTGTTTCTCTTGCTTAACAAATAAATTTATTTCATTTCGCCTGTAGAATAGAATACATTACATTAAGTGTTTTCCTATGTAGGAAAAAATCTGATAAACAACCTGTTAAAATACACCAGAATGCAGGAAATGGCATCTACTTCTTTAAACATTTTCTGGGGGAGAACCCCCAGACCCTCCGCAAATGGGTCCCCACAATATTACAAATACTTACTCTTGTTTTTTGTCTCTGAATGTCTTAAAATCAGTGATATTATCTGTGAAATTACATACTGTACGGCTGTTGGCAAAATCCATAGCTTTATATTGCTGTAGTTTTCAATTTTGTCATTTTTACAAATCATAAATTTTCTGTTAAAGATATTAGTTTTGGTGTGCCGTCCCTGGTTTTTCAGTGCCCCCCCCTTGGCCCCCCCCTGAAAAAAAATCTGCAGGCGCCATCCATCCATCCATCCATCCATCCATCCATCCATCCATCCATCCATCCATTTTCTTCCGCCTATCCGGGGTCGGGTCGCGGGGGCAGCAGCTT